ACCATGCCAAAAACTTGAACAGAAGCTAAAAGCAAATGGATGATCTCAGTGGGAGAGAGGGGATAGAGAGAGAGAGAAAAAAAAAAGGAAAGAAAAATTTAACAAACATTATCTCTTACCATCAGTCTGACAATTAAGACATATCAGTAATGTGCATAAAACAGTTCACTTACTGGTACTTCTTATCACGAACATTTATGGGCCCATCATCTGATACAGAATACTCAACACTCTCCCAGTCTTTTCTTGTTCATATATATAAGAAATTTAATTTTTACTTTGAAAACACTGGCATCATCATACTGGAACCTCAGACAAAGTCTACAACTGTACATAAACACAGTACAGGCAAGTGCTCATTCATCATTTGCATATCAGGTAACACAACTTATTTCCTGATGTCTACAGTTTGTAAACAATCAGAACAGCTGAATTCACAAAAGACTTGCATAATATTTCTGAACCTCAAATCTCATACTGAATTTATATTAGGTTTAGTTCCATGGTTTTATTACATTAATTACACATTCTTGCATTTAATTCATATAATTAACATTCCATTGTATTAACTGCGGAACCTTTATGATAAATTTCCTTGCACTTCTGTGGATTACAACTGTTCTCATTAATTCTCTCAGTAGTTTGTGAAAATCTGCATATGGCTTATTTCTGATACCACACTTACTAATTATTGAAATACTGACTTTCAAACAACAAAGGAATCCCCCCAATTTACTATCTTGACACTATAGTGAAACTTTGGTAGTTATTTTAACAAATAACTTTATACAAAAATAATGCAGAACTATTCCACATGTCAACTGGGAACTTCCCTCACTTCTACTATAATTTAATTTGATATGAAATAGCTTATTGCTTTCTTTCTCCCATTTAAATCATTATACCTGAGTGTCTTCAGTGCATCAGAGAACTATTCTGAACCATTAAAACAAAAATATACGGTGGCATTTTAATTAAAACTTTTTATCATAGACTGTTGAGCCACAAACATGCACCTGAGGACAATCATACCCTCAAACAAGACCTTAAAACAGGTTTCCCTAACACTTCCAATCACTGATATCACACCAGCTCTCATGTATATTAATCATAAATTACAGCATCATAAATTACCTTTAAAAATGTTTTGGTTTTTTCCATATCAATGGGTGCACATATATCTATCTACATGTAACATTTCCTTCAACAACTGTACAAACTTCTAAAAAAATAACATAAGCAGATTGTAGTACATTGCAGGATATATCCATGAAATGTAGGCACTCAGATGATCATGTTTCCCAAACTTATCAGTGTCCTGAATATATACACTATAACTTCTAATATACAAGTAAATAGATAACCATCTCAAAGTACAGTTATTCTTCATTATATTAACAAGCACATTTGAGAAGAAAGGCTGCTGTCCAAGGTACACAGCAGTTACTTGCAGTTACGGAGCTCAATAACTGTTTTCTCAGATATAATTTAGTTATTAATCACTTCAAACAAATATTAAATGGTTTATTTTAACTCATTCCATGTTGTATCTATACCCTTCATTAATTATGACTCTGCCATCAACAACAAAAGATAACCAAGGCAAAACCACTACTCATTTACAACAAAAAGAATAGGAATTTAAGCCAACCACTTACATTATACAGCCTTAACCAAAAATAAGTGACAACAGAAATGAACATAATATGAAAGAGGGAATTATGGAAACTTTCTTAGTGGTGTAAATACCATGAATAACACAAATACGAAGCTCTGCACTATTATAGGTTTTAATTTTCAGCAATAATATATCTTAATAAGTGACTTGAGTCTGGGTATGTAGCATTAAATGGCAGCACAGCCTATCATTCATGTTCTATCTCAGTATCCACTTGCAATGACTATGAAAAGCTACAAATAACTTCAATAAGGAGAGTCAGTCTTCAGGCAGAGTTTCAAACCTTGGATTCACAAAAATATGTTTTTACAAATTTCAAGCTTTCACAGCAGCTAACTGTTGATGTTAAATATGTTCTTGCATTTTTACACTGTGTTGATGTGGGTAATGTGGCCTCCGTCTTCAGAACTGAAGCATGTTAAGGCAGGTGATTTTGTGTGTATATACAGGCTCACACTTTGAAAAATCACTGCATAGAGGAGTGGTGGTTGGTGTCATGCCTGGGCCAATAAGAACAAGAGAGTGAGCCATGGAGTACATAAAAAACCACTTGCAACTGATGTTGCTAAGCAGTCTCTCATCCAAGTGCTCACCAAGCATAATGTTACTTAGCCTTCTATGCTGTGGGTGGAGACACATGGAGAGTGGTGGGAGATCACAGTGAATTTAGGCAGGTAATGGTGAAGACACGAAGGAAGAAGCACGTAGGATATACCTTGCAAGGCAGATGAGCCTAGACAGGGGAAGTGAGTCAGTAGGGGGCTTGCCCTTGGGGAGGGGAGATACCCATTATGGAGTTGTAGCTGTTCCTTAATCTGGAACAGGATTTGTGGGAGGAGTAAAAATGTGGCATCCTCTCTTCTGGTTGACCATATGGATAAAGATGTTCCAGGCAGGTCTGAACTGCTCGTAAACTTCTCTACTGAAGCTACCACACTATACCAGCAGTTATCTGAGAAGCCATATAAATCAACCTGCATTACAAATTTAACAGAGAAGGTGGCTACCAGTTAAGGCCTGCCTAGAAAATCATATAGGCAGTGAAGTAGAAGAAAGGACAAAACAAACATACTCTTACCACAAATCCCATGCCAGACTGAGAACAGCTACAATTCTATAAGCTGTATCCCTCCCAAAGGACAAACCCTCTACTGACCCACTTCCCCTGTCTAGACTCATCTCCCTGGTAAGATATATCCCTCACACTTCTTCCCTCCCATTGTCACCATTAGCGGCCCTTAATCCAAAGTATTGAAGGCTTGGTAACATTATGCCTTATGAGTACATGGATGGGTGACCACTTAGGAACATCACTTTCCTCGTTTTTCTCGAGGAACTACATG